GAGCTTGCAGTGAGCCAAGGTCGCACCACTGAACTCCAGCCCGGTCAAAAGAGCGAGACTCTGTCTCAAAAAAAAAAAAAAAAATTGGAGCTCAGCCCCTGGCAGGTTCCACAGCTCTGGGGAGAAGGGAGAGGGATGTGGGGGCGTGAGGCGTGGAGGCTCTCACTGTCTCACCCTCACGCGATGCGTCACCATCCTCACGGGGCCCCTGCCACAGTTGGCACTGACTCTCTAAGGACAGGGCCTGGCCATCGCCTTATCCCCTCCCCTGCCACATGGGACCTCCGAGGAGGGCATTTGAGATGATCCCCCCAGGGGCTGCCCTCCTCCCTGCCCTTCCCCAGCCGGTCCTGGCCGTGGGCTGTATCAGGCCATGATCATTCCTCTCCTGCTCCCTGGCCAGGCCGTCCTGGGCCGCTCACAGCTGTGCCATTCTGTTCCAGACGTGGACGAGTGTGCGGCCGAGACACCTCCGTGCAGCGCCGCACAGTTCTGTAAGAATGCCAACGGCTCCTACACGTGCGAAGGTGGGTCAAGCGGGCGGGCCTGCACTCTGGGTCCCTCCTGGGTTTCATTGCTGTCTTTGTAAACATTCATTTATGACTTCTTAGCATCACTTATATACCTCCTGCCTGCTCTGAGAACACTTAGTGTAGCAAAATAAGTCATAGGTATTTGCTGTAGGAAAATCAGAAAATTCAAGTAAGTTAAAGAAAATTAAAAACCCACGAGTTCCCTGGAGAGCGCACCCTGCTCGTGCCCCCCAGCGCCCCCACAACGTGCCCTGTGTGATTTTCCACAGCACCTGTCGGTGTTTTCCACCCAGCAGCTTGTCCTGTGTCCTGTGGTTTCTCCATCATGTTCATGATTTTGGAGCATGCCATTGTTTCATACGTTTAAAACGATGTCTATTGCTGGACATTTACGTCATAACAATTTTTCAGCTGTTATCAGCTGTGAATACTCTTGAAGGTAAAACTTTTCACATTCCTTATGATTTTCTTTGGATTAATTTCCAAATCGTTCAGTCAAGGAAATGTGTCTTTTAGGACCATAGTGCCCCAGAAAAGTTGTGCCGATCCCCAGTCCCAGCAGCAGGAAGGAGCCTCTGTGATAGCCCCCGGCAGTTTTCACTGTTGGGAGTGCAGACAGCAGGACCCTCAGTGAGCCACTACACTGGAAGTCATGCTAGAGGCTCCCCGGCATGTGGGGGTCCCATGCTAGAGGCTCCCCGGCATGTGGGGGTCCCATGCTAGAGGCTCCCCAGCATGTGGGGGTCCGACACCGGCTCCCCGGCGTGTGGGGGTCCGATGCCGGCTCCCC